ACACCTGAGCCCTGCAGCAGACAGCAGACAGCAGACAGCAGACAGCTGTGTGTTTGTCATAATCAGAAACCTCAGCACTTCCTGCACTAATGAAAGAAAAACAGTGTGTTGGGGGGGCTGGACGGTGGGGGGAGCCTGATTGCCGCTGGGAGACAATAATATTTACAGACTCGCTGTCCTGGGAGCCGAGAGTCCTGACGAGGGGAGAGGCAGCCAGGAGTTACAGTCTGGTCCGCAGCAGCAGGGGGAGACAGGGCAGAGGGCAGGGCCAGGTCTCTCTCACTCCCTCCCCTGCGGTTTTCAGCCAGTGTCAGACACGGGGGTCCGGCGGTCGTGTTGTGTTTTAATTTAACATGAACTTGGAGCAGGGAGGTGAAAGGTCAAGGGTCATGTGCTCCCCTCCTGCTGCAGGGCAATAAGCGCCCCTTGAGGACACAGCTGGGTGTCTCCCGGGACAGGAGACACTGACTCCTCGTGGGGACACACCCCTCGTCCACGAGCTGCTGGAGGTGATGAGGAAGCTGAGAGTCCGTAACTGCAGGCGCGGGTCTGTCTGCACTGCCCCCTGCTGCTCGCCGCCAGCACTGCGCTGTCCGAGGAGCCTGGCCACAGGGACAGAGGGGACTCCAGTCTGCAGGGGCGATCTGCACAACAGGTGTGGTGTGTGTGTCAGTGTGGTGTGTGATAAAGGGACAGGGAGAGAGACAGATGGAGGGACAGGGAGACAGACAGATGAAGGGACAGGGAGAGAGACCGGATGGCTCTTGTCTGACCTCCCTGATCCTCTGAGCAGCCTCTTCTAATGCAGTCCGACAGCGCCATCTAGTGGATTCTTTCGGAGCAGGTCTGTTCACACCTTTCGAGAAACTACACGTTGGTTGTCTGTGTGGTGTTTGTGTGTTTGTGTGTGTGTGCCTTCACCGGTGAGTCTGAGGGTCCTGTCTCCCCAGCCAGTGTCTCTCTGCACATCAGCGCTTACTGACACCATCTCATTGCACAACGACAAACTGGACTGGACCGACCCTTCGCCTTCCTCCTACTGCACTCGGCCTTCTCGTCCAGGGGCTCCGCAGGCAGGGAAAGGCCACAACACGAGCTCCTTAACAAACAAGGCACCTGCGCGGTGAGAGAGAAAACAAACACGGATACTGTATATAAATAGAGCACACATCCAGCCAGCTGTCCACACTGAGCAGGTCAGGAGCTGGGGGAATGGACGGCGACTCAGTCCTACTGCTCCTGAGTCTTGGAAGGACATGGAAGAGCTCGGATCACCGTGCGACGGGTGATCATGGCAGTCAGGGATCATACTGTGTGATCAAGCGTGATGTCCGGCAGTTGTAGCTGTTGTGCACCAGTCATTGTGCTGGCTACCTGCACCCTCTCGCTCAGTCCGTTTTTATTACGAGCATCAAGGTTAACCAAACCAGTCTCCACACTCAATCCACGAAAGTGAATGGTCTAATTCTGCTCTAACAGAGAAACAGGAACCGTGACGCCGCACCTGTCCTGGCCGCGCCCCCCGGCGCGATGACGTCAGGCCGGGAGGAGGGGCACGCCCGCTGGTAGACGTGGCGCTGTGACGTCAGCGGCCGGGGAGTGACCCGGATTGAAACGCAGCGGCGGAGGGAGACGGAGCGGCGCGGCGGCGGAACCGGAGAGAGACGCGGACATACCGGTGAGGAGAGAGAGGAGGCCTGTGGCGAACCGCCGGTGCGCACCTCCCCAGCTGGGGGCACGGGTGCCGGGGGAGGTCGGGTTTCCCCGACACCCGTTCCTTTGTGTTTTTAAAATGTCGAGTTATTTATCCGGGAAGGGTAGATGGGGCTTTTAACAGTCTGAAAGTGACCCGCAGTTGCTCTGTCCGTCACTGTCGGCGGTTCGGGGGGGCTGGAGTTTTCTCGGTTATAATGCGCGACCTGTTTCAGTGCAGATTGGAGTGTGTGGTGTGGGGTTTTATTTTAATAGTAGCCTTAAAGACCGCTTGAAGCTGCTGTCGGAGACATCTGAAGTTGTTGTTGACGTCTCAGGCGGCCAATGAGGGCCCCCGGGTAGTTTGATTGACGCGAGTCGCTGCCAACCGCCGCTCGCTGAGGTTACAGCTGGTCGGCGGGGAGTGGCAGCGGGGACAGCCAATAGGGGTCCCGGCGTGATTGCGAGGGCGTAGTGGCCCGTTCGCTGAACCAATAGCGTAGAGCGTTGTCCACAGGGGGCGGTGATGAGCGTGTTGGTGGGCCAATCCGCCGTGGGAAGAGGCGGGGCGCTGGTTGTGCTGACTGAGTCTATCCTCTCATTTCAACAGAAACCGAAAATTTTGGAGTCGGTCCTGAGACAAGATAACAACCCCCCCAGCTCGGTGAAATCTAAATCTTCACGCTTATCGAGCCGATAACACAGAAAGGTCAATTGTGATTCTTTGTACACTTTATTCTCTTAAACCTTTTTATTTAAAAATGCTTATTTTATTTATTTCAGCAAAACAGCTGTTCAGCAACTGGTTCATACAGTCCAGTAGGACAGTC